TAAATGGACTACTCCGACTTCCCTAAACGCTTTCCAACACGGTAAAGTTTCCGTCGGCATAAAATCGGCTAGACGGCTAAGGTTTTATTGCTCATCTAATTTTTACACCGCCGCAGCTTCGCCGTTCTAAAATTAGCTCCTCAATAACAAGTTTATCTCGCAGTGCGTCGCAGTAAATTGCTCTCAATTGGAGCGATCGAGGGAGAGAGTTTTTTTTAAGAATGAAAACAAGCTTCCCGAGGAAGAAGTTCGGAATTAGGCCGTCTTGAAATTTAAAAAAAAAAGATTTTTTTTTAAATCCATTAAAAAAAATTAGACACGCTAAAAAGCAAACATTAAAAACAAGTATTAAAGTCTCATCTTATTAAAGATGTCTTAGCGTTACCTTTTTCAATTGACTTAAAAAAAGGAGGAGGTTCTCATTTCGACTATATTTTTTTATGTTTGTTCCCTTAGAACTTTCGCCTGAGTGAACTGGTTTTGATGATTCTCTTTTTGTTTGAAAGCTGGCGCTCCCCATGTGGTCCCATATTGATTTCATTGGTATTGGATCTTTGGGTCCGGAGATACTTGGGGAACTCCTGAAAATCAATTATAAAATGAATAGAGAACGAGAGATTTGAAGTCGGTTTTCTTTTTCGTTAGTAAAAAATTGGCTTGTTACATGAACTGTTGTAATGTCCTCCAACGTTGGTTATGCTTGCGTCTGGATATAATTTCGCGCTGACCATCATACTCCTGCTAGGTTTTTAACGATCGGCCACCTATCCGACAGCCCTCCTTCGTCACACAAGTCACTTGTCCCGTGTAGAATTCGAGCCAACAACCCCCGGCGCTAACACCAATGGCTTAGCGACTGCGCCACCGAGGAGTTAATGTGGATGCTGACCGTACAACTCAAATGTCTGTGGAAAACTAGACATTTATTTACCTTTAAAAGACGCACCAACATAATTTCCTACGTTTGCCCATCCACCAAGAGCAATCGATTTACATATTCGTAAATAGTTCGTAATTGTTACTGTTTATTTACTCCGATGTGTAAATACACATCGGAGTAAATAAACAGTAACAATTGTATGCTGTCTCTATAAGTTCGGTTGACGAAATATAAGTATCTTTGTCTAAGCAGTTTAGGTCCAAAGACATAGAGCGTGTTATAGTTATAGCGATCCGAAAGTCAATAAATAACCCTTGCACTATTAAAGCATTTACACCGATTACATGCAAACTATGAATACAAGAACACTTCACCGAGACAATTAAATGGAGATGTTACAAACACACGTGATAAGGATCCCTGCTACCAAGCAGCTTACGCCAGTAAGACGAGATCATAGCTGATCATGATCTGCCTAATGCCCGGTTTCTGAAATACTGATCATCGTAGAAATTAACTAATCAGCTGTCAAATGGAATTGACAAAAGGATGGTTTCACTCTTTGAATTGATCATTTTGATCGTTCTGATCAACTTTAACTACCCTTTTGGCAACTCAACATTCGAGAAGCCATTTGACAGCTGATTAGTTAATTTCTACAATGATCAGTGTTTCAGAAACCGGGCGTAAGTCTTCCCTATTGAAGACTTGAGCTTATACTGCTGCAATAAGGCACACTGAATAGTTCTCAACCACCTAGTTTGCCAAATAGTATGTTTATTCCTAAACACGCTGGTCATTCCCCACACGATACACGAGCGATCATTTAATAGTTGCAACAATATGGTGATTGGAATCTCCTTACACTATCAAAACAGTCAGGACATTAGTATCCGAAGTAATACTGCATTGTCCTAAGTAACGACATCCCGTGGTAATAACAACACCTATTTGAAAAGGGTATGAGACCTGTAACAAGAATCGCAGTGTAGTCCATGTGACAGTTATTATGTTTGTTGGTAAATAAAACGAGTTCAGTATGCTTCATACACTTTGACTTCTAATGTGTTAATAACATTATACAAATTATAGAATTTTCACCCCGCCTCTGAATTATTGTTCAGAATATTCAAAAACTAAATAAAATTCAAATAAAACTTTTAATTAATATTGAGGAAGTATGCAGGATTCCTCATTATGTTTTCCTTCATATGAGTGAGTACATGATAAGACAGATTGCAGTTTCATTGGTGTCAGCACCGAGGATCGAACTCAGGTTGCTCGAGTATATTATTGCGAAAAAAAGGCTGAAGACGTAACATTCAGACAGAAAGACAGATATACATAATATATGTCAATTATAACCTATGTCTTATTCTGATATATAAGCTATATTATTGTAAAGTTTCATTAAAAACCATTCAGTAGTATATGCGTGAAAGAGTAACAAACATCCATCCATACAAACTTTCGCCTTTATAATATTAGTAGGAAGTAAGGATTAAAGGCGAACGCCCGGACGCTGAGCACGGCTTCATCTAGAAATTTTTACATTGGAACAAAAATTTTTTTCCATCCAAAAACACTCATATTTTTATCTCAAGGTCTATATTTATTTATACGTGTGCGTCTGACATAATTTATAATTCTCAACTATGACCATACTAGTTAATAAGTTTCAATACGTCAGCGCTACTTAAAAACCGGCCAACTGCGATCTATAAAAACGGCTAAAAAATCATGCCTGTTGTATGGGAGCCCTACTGAAATATTTTTATATTGTTTATCAGTATTTATTATTATAGCGGCAACATAAATACATCATCTGAAAATTTGTCTGGTGACAGACGGGCAGACAGACAATGTGAATTTTAAGAATAATTTTAGGGCATAAATGTTCATCGTCGGTTCTATATCCGCGACGCTATCACTACCAAAAGTAAAAAGGTTATGAGTTGATTATTAAATGATTCTGTAACTTCTGGATGAATTCATGTATTGAGGGTATAAGCACAGTATATCCCCGCACGTTTGCTTCGACGGAACATACTAACTGCTAAAAAGCAAAACAATGTCTTAGAACCAATTAGGAGAATTGTAAATTATGACTATAACATTATATGTAGTAACGGTGACAAAATCGTTGGAGTAATCGATCCGATGAATTTTATTGCTTTATTTACCAATTTTCCCGCGAAATATTGTTTTTATAGTGCAATGCACTCGCCCCAAGGTCAATTTATGACAATGTTGCCGTTTATTAGGGCCAATAGCCCGTTATCAGGATTATGGCGTCATAGTTGAGTAAAAGTCTGAGATGCAGTTAAGAATTCCGTTATGTTTTGCAACAATTACTAGCTTATTTACTTTTTTTTTTAATTTTAAACTCTTTTGTCCTGTCAGTTCTCTGTTATTTACTTAATTTGGAAAACAAATTCTAGTCACTGGATGATTAACGCACCTAAAATAAGTCCAGAATCTGGATACATATATACGAAATTAGGTATTCCGAAACGAATGTTATGAAATTTTTATATAAATTTTGTGGAACATACTATAATCAGTGTTATCAATTGTTCAAATGAAAACTCCTAAAGCAATTAAAAAACAGATTAAAATCCTATAAATTCACCTAACCAAAATCTCCTAGCCAAATGAGAAACATTTAGGAAATTTTCGTTTCAATTTGCCTCCTAAAAACCTGTATTATAAATTTGTTCTTCGTAAATTTGGGAAGAAAACTCCTAAGTTGGCATCCATGAGTTTATGGTTTTAACTGAACTCTACCTTCGATATTGATATTGGCAAAGGTTTTTATAGTAACTGTAGTAGGGCCACGCAACAGCTTCGACTGTTGCACGAATGGGCAGCCGCGTAAGTACCACGACGTCACAGAAGACCGGCGTGAAGTGGAAGTATACTACTTCCGCGTTTCGTCTGGTGAGTGGCTGGAGGTGGCCGGAGCCCAATTTTCAAAAGATTGTCATCACATCTGCAACCCAGAAGATAGAACTTTTCAATCGGAGTACTTAAGCTTCTGTACTTAGCGATTACTTTACATAACGCTTCTCTGCCTTTTCAACATGAGCGTACATTTCTATCCATTACTACTACTTTTAATAAGTATTTGTTTTATTATTTTAATACTAAGTACTCCTAGTTACTCCTCTTCCTTCTATGCTATTCTTTTACGGTTTCTGCTATAGGTCTTTGGAAATCTCTTCCTTTAGATATTAAACAATCTAAATCTCTTCACATTTTTAAAACTAAATTAAAATGTCATTACCTATCCTCTTAATATACTATATATCGTCCATCATATATCTTTTTTTTCTTTCTATATGTATATATATATATTTTATTTCTGTGTATTTACTTTTCTTATTATTTATTTAGTACACCCTACCGCTTTCTTCATTTAATGAATCCTCTGCCCTAAGGTTGCCTGGAAGAGTTCGCTATTTTAGCGATAAGGCCGCCTGTTGTAATCATGTTGTGTCTTTAGTTATAAATCCTGTATTTCTATTGGTGTACAATAAAGTATATTTTACTTTACTTTTACTTTAAATCTTCATCATCCTCCTGCTCTTATTCGATGCTCAGCGGTTCACCTGATGTTTGGTGATAGCCTCTGTTGCGAACCAATGACTAAATACCGGGATACGGTATTTCTCCTTTGGCGTGCTCAGACAAGTTTCACTTACATCAGTCATTGTATCGCTAGTATCATCAGGCCAATCGCTGACTACGGCTGAACGTATGACATTGATAACGAAGCTACACGGAGGAAACAATAGACACAACAAACAAGTGCATCTAGCAGCGCAAATGTTTGTGCTGTATTTATAAATTCAACCAATACGTTCGCCCGAGAATAATTTAGAGATATTTACACGAGACGCGATCTGGAGGAATACCGAGTGTGTTTGCCGAACTCAACGTATAATCCCAGTGCAAACTGAGATCATATCTTATGTATATAACGGTGCTACTGTAAGAACCGTCTCATTTTACGGTAGCGCTTTGTAACGATGCGATTGCGTTGTGTAACAGTCAGCGACTCAGGGTTAAGGTTTAGCTTATTGAGGTTTCGCCATCGAGGGGTCAGGGTTTGAGGGAAATGGTGAACGCCAAAGATGACGCAGAGGCGCCCGCGGCGAGGGAGGAGATACCCCACGACCACCTGTTCAAGGTCACGGGTCTGTCGTCCAGCAATCTAGAGAAGATGGCGCAAGGTACCGAGCTCTTTACTGTTTGAGTAAGCCCAAACGTGTTATCGCATTTTTAGCCCTATGCAAGTACAGACAGTGATTTTTGCAAGTAAGAACCCAAAAAATTCCAAAGTATTAAGCCAGTTAACATGAAATCTCAGTACTACTGGCTTCGAGAATTTGTTTATTCAATAAAATGCTGTTGCTCTTTGAAATATTCATACAAATAATGTATTTATACAATTATTTCATCGTTTAACACAATGACGACCTTTGTCGAACACATTGTAAAAGGTTTAAGCAATCTACTCGATAGTGTAACATTTACGACGAAGTGAGTTTTTTACTGAAATGTCTATTCTTTTATTATCATTAAGTATGATATTTAAATCATGATTTAACGTGCTGTGTTTTGTAGGGTGGTAGTTCGTTTCTAAGAAATCAAAATATGCAATTTCTACGCATTCAACTTCAGCAATCCATTCATTGTGGTAGGCCACGCAGCTTCTACTGTTGCATGAATAGGCAGGCTAGTACACATCACAGAAGGCTAGGTAGAAGTGAAAGCATTATGGTTTTGCGTAATATCTGGTAATACGAGTTGCGTAATACGAGTAAGGCAATTGGTGCGCATTATAGGTTGACAACGCGCCACCAGTTTTTTTTTTTTACGTGAAAATTTACCAAACGAGCAGACGGTTCACCTGATGGTAAGTGAATACCACCGCCCATGGACATCTGCTACACCCGAGGGTTACAGAGGCGTTGACAACCTTTTATTGGGCTCCGAAAGTTTTTTAAATTGCCATGGCGGTGATCACTTCACTTGTTCGCCACCTTCCCACATAAGCCATAGTAGCCCACATAAGACATTGTAAAGCACTGAAAGAACTTATTAACACAGTTGCTAAGCCACTAGCTTCGGGCGCGGGAGTCGTGCATTCGATTCCCACGTGAAAGAAGTATTCGTCTGACCCACAGATAATTGTACCGGATCTGGGTGCGTTTTCCCAAGTAGAGCTGCCGTCAGAGCTGCCGAGGTCATGTCCATAGCAGGAGATAGGAGTATGGATAGCACTAGAAGCAATGAATTATAATGCTTCATTGCTGCAGAAAGTAATTACTATGTCGAAGAATCATTCCCACATTTCTACTAGATTATTTATTTCGAAACCTAGGGTGCGCTTTGTAGGCTGTTTAAATGCCTCACACAGACCATGTGATCAGCCCATCTCAACTCAACCAAGCCTTGCCATTAGGTTCGTGGATTATTCTTATTTTTGATCGTTTCACTGCAGTTTAGTTAGCATTGTAATGATTTTGGGCTGATCAACTTTGTTTGTATCAGCTGAACTGATTGTCGTTACACTGTCATAGCAGCTAACGGCCGCCGACGATAATAACAATCCTGGCGTAATAAAGTACGTCTGTTCCGCGTCTAATGCGGTCGTCGTTCGTAAATCAAATCAAATCATTTATTCATTGAAAGAAACATACATTTCATTTATCTATTCTAGTAATTTTTCTTAATCTACCACCGTTTCGAAATAAGGTTCTTCTAACGGAAAAGAAACAGGCAAATTAAACTCCTTAGGTATGCTATTTCTGTCACTTTTTTTCTCAAGATATTAAAATATAAGTACTTATTTCTTTTTTTTATGTTTAGGAACCGTCGATTCATTTCCAAGGGTTATTATCATTAATGCGGAAAAAATATGACAACAACGTGTAATATGTGTGACGCGTTTGGAAAAAAATATGATAACAACTTTTTGACATTTACCTATAATTCCTAGCAATTAAAATAAACCGTTATCAATTCCATTTAATATCTTTTTTAACCGACTTTATATTTTAATTTTTTTTGTGTGTTCGCGGATAACTTCCTCCTTTATGATCCGATTTTGATGATTCTTTATTTGTTGGAAAGGGGATATCCCAAGGATGGTACCATGATAAGGAAACCCGGATATCATGATGGCATCCCAGAGAAATCGAGGGCTTTAGGTTGAAGTCGATTTTTTTTTGTTAAAAATTATCACAAACCAAGAGTACAGGGGATATGTTTATTCTATAGTTTCGCTAAAGAAGTATAACTTTTTACGTGCATACTTTTTTTCGTCTTTCAAAATTTTCTGAAAGCTCTCATTCATTAACAAGTAAATTTTTTATCAACGAAAATCAAAACCGACTTCGAATACCTCGCTCTGTATTGAATTTCAGGAGTTCCCTCCGTATCTCAGTAGCCCAAGATCCAATGCCAATTTAATTAATACAGGACCACTTGGGAATCATCAAAATCCGTTCACTCAGCCGAAAGTTCTTAAGTACGAACAAACAAAAAAAAGATACAGTCGAATTGAGAACCTCCTGCGTTTTTGAAGACGGTTGGAAATAGACGTCGGTCGATTTAAAGGCGAAGCGGGTAAACATTCCGAGTCGAGTGGGGGGCAAGTTCAGAGCGTAATGCGTCTCGGGTCGGTCTGCTTTTACCCGAAAACGCTGGATCGCGGCCAACATTTAACGGCGGCGGTACCGCGGAACGATTTAATGTCACCCGGCCTCTGAGCGGCGCGCGGGCGACCGCGCCCGGTCTCCGGTCTCCGGTCTCCAGTCTCCGGTCTCCGGTCTCCGGTCACCGGTCTCCGGTCTTCGCCTTTCCCGATTGGAAGTTTTGTGAAGTCGTCGAAATATTACAGATGAAGTTAGAAACTCAATCTACCATTTATTTATATATATACTAGCTGACCCGGCAAACGTTGATTTGCCATATAAATTATTTGTACGGTAGAAAAAAATGTTTGGGATGGACCCCCCCTTGACATTTAGGGGGCTGAAAAATAGATATCCGATTCTCCACCCTGGCCGATATGCACACAATCGGTTTGCAATGCAATTTCACGAAAATCGGTCGAGCCGTTTCGGAGGAGTTCAATTTACAAACACCGTGACACGAGAATTTTATATATTAGATTTCATAACATTTTTTTTACTAAATCAAACAATTGCGTTAATTATTGACTAGCTCCTACCCGCGACTAAGTCTGCGTAGAATAGGCTAAAGGCTTAACATTCAGACAGAAAGACAGAAATACATAAATTATGTATACAAATTATAGCCTATGTGTATGTCTTATTCTGATGTATAAGCTATATTAATGTAAAGTTTCGTTCAAATCCATTCAGTGGTATTTGCGTGAAAGAGTAACAAACATCCATCCATACATACAAACTTTCGCCTTTATAATATTAGTAAGGATTTTGGTTCGTCCCACGGCCAAGGGTGCTATAAAATATTCGGAACGTTGATAAGTCAAATAATAAATAATTACCATAAATCCATTGGAAAACTTTTAATTTTATTTTATACGAAAATAATGTGTGGTGTTCGCTTGTATCGCATTTAAAAATTAAATATGTAATACGTTGTATTATTGTTGTTTCGAACTGCGATAAAATCTTAACACAGATTATACAGTAAGTTGTGGTCAATAATTTTCAGCAGCTTCCCAAATATGAAAAACCTATCTGAGATCTCGGGTCCGAATTTCATTAATGAGACGGACTAATGAGTTACCGTCTTCTAGATTTCGTATGTGAAAAATAACTCAACTTCTTGGGATTTTCTGCCAACCCCATTTGGATTATAACCTTAATGAAATATTAGTTAAACATATAATTATTACACACGTCTTCGTGATGCGGATTTAATGAAAATTCATTTGTACAAGCGCTTCACTATTAAAACTAATTTGACGTGTTTTCGTATCGGACGATATTAATAGCTGACGGGACGCGACCTTCAGTTGATTATAAAACTAAGAGGTTTTATTGCAGTACGTAAAAGAAAGATTGCTGGTAACGATCAATCTGCCATATTGTGCGAGCACATGTGCTAATGTATCATCAAATTTTTAATCGGTAGATTAATTGGGGGCGCGCGTCTGCGTTCTCGATTTAGTCATCGACGACGCCAAATTCTGATAATATATTATGTTATTCGGTTTATATATTATTATATTAGCCAACCGCTACATAGTATAAAGCAAAGTCGTCCCGCTTTCTGTCTGTCCCTATGTATGCTTAGATCTTTAAAACTACGCAACGGATCTTGATGCGGTTTTTTTACTAGGTAGAGTGTTTCAAGAGGCAGGTTTAAATGTACCTATAATACATTGCACCCGAGCGAAGCCGGAGCGTAGCGTCGCTAGTAATCAATAAGATTATACTTCACTTATTAGTGATATTCATTTCAACTTCTATAACCGTTAGACCTACACCTTATTTTTTGAGCCTCTTTTATGACATTATTACGCGGTACATAGCGTTTTTCAATATATGTTTAAATTGCCAGATGTAGAATACTAATTTATATACATATATATTCATTGCACAATATTTCATCCGTACTGGTATCGAACCCACTTCCTTTATTGTTAGGTGAATACTATTATGTTTTCTATACTACATTTATATTAAGTGATTGCCTATTTTTCAAATATAAAATAGTTAAAGTAAAGAAACAGCATAATAAGGCATAGACCACCACCCGAGCCTACTGCGGATCAGCGGACCTCACATATCTCCGAAATATTTATTTTGTCATTATTTAGAAAACACTCCGATTTCCTTGATCGATGACTACTTAATAATTCAGCACTTAAAATGAACGGTTTAATTGCTAGCACCGTGATTCTAACTTGGGTTTCTCGAGTATACTGAATTAAAAGTCACTGAGCTATCACGGCCACGGCCGGATTTAGGGGAGGGCAAACGGAGATATTGCCCCGGTACCACCACAAAAGAGGGCCCAAAATGGAGATTATATTTATATGTTCGTTTAATAATAAAATAATCTATATTTGTTTTCACAATAAATTGATTATTGGGAAACTCGACTGAAAAAAATTGTTCGTTTTATTTGGAAAATAATTTGGGGCTTGGCCCCACTCCTTTGTTGCCCCGCCCCGAGGCTTCCAGACCTTTAAATCCGGCCCTGATCACGGCTCCAATAACAATGATTTATAATGAACTAGCTTTTCGCCCGCGGCTTCACTCGCATTGAAGCCCTTTAATAAATATCTCTCAACACTTTTTCCAACTAAAAAATAGCCTTTGTCCCTTTCTCAGGCTCTAAACTACCCGTGTTCCAAATTTCATTTAAATCGGTTGAGTAGTTTTGGAGTGAAAGCGAGACAGACAGACAGATTTACTTTCGCATTTATAATATTAGTATGGATGCTTTAAATTGTAGAGCTGGAAGCCGACTTCGAGATGGCGATAGCCGCGACCGGCTACGGCGGCTTCAACGTTGCGCTGATGCTGTGCACGCTGCCGGCCTTCTGGAGCGCCGTCTCCGTGACCAGCTCGGTTTCCTACATCTTCACGAGGGCACAGTGCGACATGAGGCTCAGCCTGCTGGATATGGGCACGGTCAACGCCATCACCTACGGCGGTGAGATATTGTCGTCAAAATGCTTATGGCCCACCACCACTCACAACAAGGATGAGGGAACAGCCCAGGTACAATTTGAATGCCGATTACATCATGGCGGCTATCACTTATCAGGTGCTATCAGGCTAACCCACCAGCTCGCTTGCCACCTTCCGACATAAAGAAGTTCCAGAAGGAAAAACAAGAGTTTGCGTCAACTGATGGCTACTTCGATCTGCTTGACTCAAATCGAACTCTCTCTGTTCTACAAGTAGTAAGAAACTACCAACCTACAAATTACTTTTGCGGGAGAAAATCTTAAATTTTGCGATTCATTGCACAGACATTATGCACAATTTTTAAATAAATATGTAGGCACTTAGTTCATACATCAATGATAATCGGACCCAAGATTATTACGAAGTTTGCACAGTGTTACCAACCGAGTTATCTGTCTCTGATCAATAAGATATCGGTTAAATTAAAAACTAGTTTTAATCTACTTAAAAATAAAGAGGCGCTGAATTCTGATGTTTATTTATCTCGAAACTCCGTCATTGATGAGCCGATTTTCTAAATTGGCATCGGGTTTAGTGAAAATTACTTGTAGCTGTCCTTTTTTAATAGTCCGTCACAAACAAATTTAGATATTACATGTCAGTCACACACAAATAAATTACATTGTATGACCCTGGGGTTTAGCATATTCAGTTGACTTTGATCAAGACACTTAAATCTTCACCGTTTTATGTGTCTTGGTGTAGACTATGATGATCTGGTTCGTAGATTAAACGTGCCTTATGCACGCCACATGTACATCTTAAAATGGCCGACGAAGAAAATAAATTATGAAAATATAAAATGGCAATGAGCAATAACGCTTTGAAAAAACGAAGAAATATAAACATTCGACCGTAAGCACATTTGCACAGCTTATCGCGTTTTCTTAGAGAACACAAGACGACGAGTGACCGCTGCGAAATCCCTTCGCACATACTCCGAGCCGATAGGGAAGTTGATTCCGCCAATGGCGCAATCCGGCGAAAACAATAATACAATGAATTAATGAGTGCGCAATATGCGCTCTCTATGATTATGGAAGATATAAACTGTTAAGAAAGCGGATTCATTTTTGTTAGGGTTCCGTACCCAAATGGTAAAACGGGACCCTATTACTAAGACTCCGCTGTCTGTCTGTCTGTATCTCTGTTTCTCTGACTGTCTATCTTTCAGTCTGTTCGACTGTCCGTCTCAACAAACACTAAAAACAGAATAAAAAAATATTTAAGCGGGGCTCCGATACACTGAACATGACAATTTTTTGCCGTTTTTATAGATAATGGTACGGATCTCTTCGTGCGCGACTCGCACTTGGACGATATTTTTTCACTTTATTACACGTTTAAAGTATTTTTAAATTTGTAAAATATTAAAATATGTAGAAAAAATAGTTAAAAAATAGTTGTAAAATAGTTTTAAAGATCTAAGCAGACATAGGGACAGACAGCGGGACGACTTTGTTTTATACTATGTAGTGATATAAACTAATTAAAACATAATTAATTATTTCCAGGCATGATCTCATCCGCCATGGTGTGGGGTTTCCTATCTGACACCCTAGGCAGGAGGCAGATCCTCGCTTGGGGTTTCTTCGGCTCTGGTCTCCTAGAGATGGCGGCGGCCATGAGCCAGAACTTCACAATGCTGCTCGTCACGAGGTTTGCCAGTGGCTTCCTGTGAGTATAAAACAACTTGTATAAAACATTATTGTCATTTAACTGCAGAGTTTTAAACCGGTTCTTCCCCGGACGAAGAAAAATTTTACAACCGATGACATACATTGACGTATATTGGTGTTAAAATAAGAATAAATTAGATGAATATTTGACTTTCGATAATCCCAAAATATCGCGAATTTTTCATTACACAATACCGCTACATCATGCACAAGTTAATTTATCTTGTTTTGTTTTATCCATCATACAGGCTGTATTAACTCCGGTTGGACAAACGTACACCTTATACTTATGACGCCAATCCAAGCACTTAACTCCAATCCAAACTTTATTACTATGCATCTCCAATCGGGAGATTGGATCTGGAACTATGCATCTCCCGATTGGAGATGCATAGTAATAGAGTAAACGGGGTTCTTATAAGATAATCCGTTCACCACTTATCACTACCTCAGAACCTGCAAACAGAAGGAGTATCACTCAAGCATTGTAAACTTGCACGTTGCTCTCGCAGATTCAACGGACCTTTTGCGGTGCTGATCTCCTACATAGCGGAACTGCACCGCACGGAGCTACGCGCCAGGGTCATCCTGCTCACCAGCCTCTTCTACACCATCGCGAACACCACGCTACCACTCCTAGCTTGGGCGATACTCACAAACGATTGGGAGCTCCATCTGTTCAGCGATAAATTCGGTTCGTTGTGTCAAGCTCATATTCTTTTTTCTGACAAACAAGCAAGTTTTTAATGCGCAATGTTTTTTCAATGATCAACGTTTCATCAAACCCAGAGCACATATTTTTACTTTACATTTTTAGTTTGTGAGGGAAGACGATGGCTCAGGAGCGTGCTTCGTAGCAGTCAGTTGGGCGGGACCTATGTTCAGCAGCAGTAGTGATGTGCTATTTTTTTACCGGAACGCGCATATATAATTATATAGACAGGGCCGATCAGATAGACAGGGTCTCATGTCCCAAATTTAACGACGGGGGGTGATTTCCGGAACGCGTTCCTGTCCAAAAAGGAAGTACCGGAACGACGTTCCAGAGCGTTCCGGCTCGACAACACCACTGTTCAGCAGTGGACTGAAATGATGATGATAACTTTTATAGTTTACTTTTTTAGGAAAGATATAATCATTCCAATGACGCTTAAAACTTTCTCATTTTGCTCAACAATTACCCTTCTTCCACCCGTTTACAACAGTGATCCACTCTTGGAATCTGTTCCTGCTGGCAACCGCGCTGGTGCCCCTCCTCACGGGGCTGGCCTTCATCTGCCTGCCGGAGAGCCCTAAATTCCTCATGTCCAGGGGCCGCAACGCTGAGGCGCTCGAGGTGTTCCGCAAAATATACTCCATGAACACAGGCCAACCGAGGGAAAATTATCCCGTGAGTGGGGTCATTTCATCCATGTAGTAAATCATATTAATAATAATTACATGCTTCAAAATAATGAAGTCATGTGTCAATAGATACCTCCAACAAAGCTTTGTTCCGTCGTCTGTTAACTCCCCTTAAATCATGTGTTACAAAAGTTAATAGGTAAACACGTCAGTGAAGCAGAAACTATAAGTAGTTAGTACGATACCATCATAATAATGAAGCAAAGCTGCAATGCTCTAGTAAGTAATAAAGTAAATGTTAATATCCACCGGTTGCCCGCGACTCTGTCGATATTTGGGGTCCACCTGGTATGAGACCTTCCAACTCTACACATTCCTATTCGAGGTCGCCACTCTTTTACTTACTAGTTTGTTCAAAGGTGGATATCTTCCGGCTAAAGATGATAAGGTAATATATAAATGATGTAAGTGTTGCGGCCACAGGTGACGAAGCTGGCAGAGGAGCGGTCGCAACATCAGGGTCGAGGAGTCGAAGCGTTGAAGGGTGGATGCGCCCAGCTGGCGCCACTCTTCAAGCCACCCCATGGCGTCTGGCTGCTATTGATGTGTGCCCTTCACATGGGCTGCATGTTCGGGTAAGCTTTGATAATGTTTATATTGATAAATGTTATCATTATATGATGTTATGGTAATGCTTATGATTCAAGTGAGCAGTGTCCATCAACAAATTTGCAGTGCCTGGAAAGGGCATCTATGTTTATAAGGTTTAAATTCTGAGAGGAAATTTCTATGACGTTCGCGTTTTTTGTCTAATTTCGTATCACAGAGATACGAAATTAGACAAAAAAAAATAAAGTCGATAAATCTCCCTTTTGTAATTTTAAATTACGTTTTATTCTTTCTGTCCATATCATCTATGGTCTCAATTATTCCACCTTTCCAAAAATATTAACCGTAACTAATTATGCTGCTTCGAGGAACAATCTTTTTATTTGAGGAGATGGCAAGCGAGATGGAGGTTCACCTGATGTTAAGATAATGGCCGTCCATGGACATTTGTAATACCCATATGCATTTTGTCGCCGGTCTTCTGTGAGGTCGTGGTACTTCCCCGGACCTGTCCATTCGTGCAAAAGCCGAAACCGCGTTCTTTCAGGATATTGTTACCATCCCCAGGTCGAACACGCTGCGCCTGTGGTACCCTCAGCTGGCCGCCATGATCGGCTCCGACGTGAACGGCACCCTGTGCTCCGCCATCGCTCCCGTCGAGGTCGTCCAGGGCGGCGCCTGCACGCCCATCGAGACGGACATGCTCACCTACCTCCAGAGCGCGGTAGTCGGCGCCGGCTCGGTGCTGACGTACAGCATAGGCGGCGCTTTGGTCAATAAGTGGGTAGATTCCACAACTGTTCATGGGTTTGATGACCACAGATGAAGAATCGTGGTTAAAGATTTGAGTCTTTTTAACATAGCGAATCCTATATATAATATACATATGAATAATAACATAAGAATCTTCCTATACCGGTAGTATAGGAAGATTTTTACTGATGTTATAAACGCTAAAGTTTGTATGTATGGATATTTGTTATCTACTCTTTCCCGCTAAAACTACTGAATGGATTTTAATGAAACATTACGATACTATAGCTTATACATCACATTAACACATAGGCTATAATAATTGACAAAGATACAAGATTCTCTCAAATAACTCTGTCCGTCTATTACGCATTTACGACTAAAGCGCAGAACCGATTTTGATGAAGTTTGGTATAAAGATAGATAGGACCTTGGAAAAGAAAATAAGCTACTCGAAATAATAACCCTGCGCAGTCGAAGTCGCGGTCACCAGCTAGTTTGTGCATAGTTTTAATATATAAGTTGACGAATGTTTTAAGCAACTTCTAATAACTTATCAGTAGGTAGGTACGTGTGGCCGGCTTTTTAGAGATTTTTTTTTGGAGTTAGACCATAGAAATTAAAACAAGTTGAGAACTTACTATTTATTACCGATAACCTATAAAATTATTACTATCTGATTAACTTTTTACTATCTGTCCTGAAATAAATGACTCCCATATTTTTAATCTAGATGCGGGAAGAAACTCGTCGCCGGCTTCTGCGGCATAGTGAGCGCCGTAATTATCGTGCTGATGCCGTTCCTGGGCACGGGAGCCTTCGCGGTGGTGGCGATGGTCACCAGCGCGCTCTCTTTCACAGCCCTCTGCGGCGCCTCGCTCTCCAGCATCAACGTCGACTTGTTCCCTACGTCGCTGAGGTAAGAATTTGCGACTGATGTAAACATTTGAAACAAATTACGTAACGCTTAACGCGATCTCTCGATTATTTACCTCCCATTGGCTAAGATGGCGAAAGCGATTCTTAATCGCTAATTGGTAATAGAATCCCAGTTGGCGGCCGCGACTATTTATCGCATTCTTTACGTACCAAAGCCACAGTTTATATCTCGCCTCTTATCTACATCTCGACCACTTTAAGAGTCAGTGAAAAGTAAAGAGAATGAGAGAACAGGTATCGTCGTATGTCAGTCTCTGGTAATTTGAATTATTTCGTACCCGGAAGACCGAAGAAGGTTTGTTTTTTTTTTGGTAGATCGTGTATTTTGGAAATTACATTTAGATACAAATTATTGAGTAATGAAATATGCATAATATTTTTCGATCTTACCGACGTAATAATAAGAAAATATGAACTGATGTTTTTCACAAAAGAAAAAACTTTAAAAAAAAAAGGGAAAAAAATAATAAAATAACAAATCAACAAAAAATTAAAAATAAAGAAAGCAATGATCTGGAATCGAAAAAAAAGTAAAAAAAATAAATGTGTAAATGATCGTGACGCGAACCACGGCCGTCTGTTTTGGGGCCGCCCGATTACCGACCGAGCTATTTTCTCTTGCGGCGAAATTTACCGTCATATTCGAATTATATTTTTCATTCCCTGAAAACAGGGATAAAAGGACATTTTCTTAAAATAAAACCTAGCTAGATCGATTTTTCGCCCCCAAACCTATGCACATACTAAATTTCATGAAAATCGCTGGAGCCGTTTCCGAGATTCCGATTATATATATATATATATATACAAGAATTGCTCGTTTAAAGGATAAGAGATAATGCTAATCTCTGCACTTAAGATTAAACATGAAAATATGTAGAAAAAGTACGAAAAGATTGTCGCCGCTGTGGGAATCGTCGGTGTGGCAATCAGCCGATTAGCTCAGTGGCTAAAGCGTCAGGCCGCGAATGCCGTAGACGTGGGTTCGATTCCCACAGCGGCGACAACCTTTTCGTACTTTTTCTACATATTTTCAGTCTCTGGTGTCAAATGTCAGTTATATTTTTAGAGTAATGGGAATGGCGACTTTCCTGATGAGCGGCAGACTGGGCACCATAACCGGAACCGTCATTTTTCCCGCGCTTGTGAACTACGGCTGCCTACCACCTTTCTTCACCATAGCTGCTGTGTTAGCAGGTAAAAAGAAGTCTAATGAGTGAAGGTTCAGTAAGTTTCAGAGTTATCAATTCATTAAATAATAAGTCACACTTGATACCTCTATACAATTGAATATATAATCTTCAGATAACAGACAGAAAGGGGACAAATTTAATTTTAGGTAGTTTTATAATATTTTATAATATTTAGGTAAGTTTTATAATATTTTAAAAGCTAGCACGCTCTCACATAGATTGACTAAGAACAAACTTATTTTGTCCCAATTTGTAGACTTTTCTCAGATATTTATAGTCAACGATGGTTAGCAGGCATTTGCCAAATTGGCTGTTCGGTTTGGTCTACTATAAAAATTAAGATTTTTAAAAGAAAACTAATAATTTTACTATAATAGACTGAAGCCTATCTTACAAAGAATTCAAACTGGAAGCAGTGAGTAACCAAAGTTAGAAACGGAATTGAACTCGTTAATTTGTCAAGCGTAGAAAAGACTTAAAAATATAGCTACTTTGTTCCTTTATTTTCCATTACTATAAACAATCCATTATTTTTAATGTGAAGTCTCAAAGCGAAGAGGCGGTTCACTCATGCACAGTGCCGCAGTAATTTATTTTTCATTATATTGGTATTTCTCACATTTTAAACACAACGTTCACTACAATATTGAAATAATGCCATCTAGATTACAGCTTTAGTTTTAAGTATCAGCTAACAATGTTATGACATCTTGAACGGCCAACTGTCTCAATAGTTGGAAGTGTTTATGATAGATGGCGTTATGATCACACACATTACTTTTAAAACGTACCTATTTTTGCAAATCATAAGTGTCTACTTTTACCAAATATTTATAAATTACTATAATGAAAACGCTTACGTTACTAAATAAGTAGTAATAATGAAATTTTAAAAGAATAAACTAGATGGCACTACATCAATTAATTCAACTCTGTTCTATTTTCAGCTTGCGGCTTTGGATGCTTCCTTGTTCCAAATACTACGCTCAAGAAACTAGAGTGAACGCACATTAATTATAGATATGGTTTAAGACATTGTAAATAGTACTATTCTACTATATCGTATTTGAATAAAATTAAATAAAAGAATATCAGATCGGGAAAAGAAAACGACAAGATTTTAAAAATATTCTCTTTCTTTATTTATAATTTACCATATCCTAATCTCATCCATCTCAGTCAGACTCACAACTTAACAATAAACCAGCGAATCATGGAGAACGGTCGCTACATACATTGTTTTTAAATAAAAATATTATGCTTCCAACATGGTGTAAACAAGGTACCTTTTGTAAAACATTTAAAGTGATAATGTAACAACTTTTGTGTTATATAAGATTAAAAACAGTTTTTATCAAAACAAAGTGTTGATCAGTTATTAAATGACTACACACAAAATACGGCAAATTTATGCATTTGTTATTTATTATATTTGATTTTAGTTAATTATGTTCCAGTAAAGTAGTAATTTATTTTGTTTCATAAATGATGTTAACGATTATCCAGTTTAATTGTATGTCGATTTAGAATTACAAAATAATTTTTGACCGAATGTATACTCCGATTGTCAAAAAAGCGTCTGTTACAAAGGAACACACACAATTGATTCAATACCCCAAATAAAATAAGAGCAATACATTTGAGAAAAAATGTACAGCATATTGAAATTCATTAATTATGTAAACATTTTTTTAAATTAATATAAAATAAAAATTGTTCAGTCAAAATTATGTATTGGCATTTTCAAAAGTATACTTTGCGATTTGTACTGAACTAAGCGTTATGATATACCTACTTAATAACTTACAGGCAATAATTGCAAAAAAAAATGACATTTGATTTGTAATAAATTAACAATTTAGTCACAATTTACATGATTATATTATATAGATCAGATTATTGGGGTATATCTTTAATTGGTATCTTTTAACATAGGGAAAATCTGACAATATGGATATGAGACCGGCGACAATTCCCAATCATCGCTTAAATGCTATGTATCTCGCTTACATAATTTTGACGGATTTGATTCATAAACGGGGTTTAATAAAATAGCAGGTACTGTTTTGGTTCCAATACAAAGTATACGATCAGCGTGACAGCGTTCACATTCGCCGACTGGCCCTCCACATCACACAGACAAAGCTAGAATGTTCACAAATGGACTAGAATGAGAAAAAAAAATCTTATTGTCAAGTCGACCCAATTTGTCTCAACACTCCTTAAATTCGAGCTTTCTTTAACATTATTCATATATATTACACTCACTCGTTTAGGCCAGTGAAATTGACAGTGTTACCCTATAAAGATTTTGGGGTTATATTCACAATATACTTTGAATATAACACAAGGCACAGTTTTTCTCTTTTCATATGGTTTTATATTACCTATCTATTTAAATCAACACATTGCACGTCTCCATTTATAAGATATTTTTACAAACATTGGCAGATCTCTCTCGAATTACGAAAACTAAGGGGGGACTGTTTGTATTCCGAGCTGTCCGCTATCAGAGCAAGACAATTCCGAACCAGAAATCGGTTTAGAAATGCGTTTAACACAGCCTTTCGCCTTATTCTCAACCAAACTCCCTCCCTATTTCCCGTTACAAAATTGTGTCGATTCATTTGTACAAAATATAAAGTAGCTCCCAGTCTACGTCTTAATTAATTACAATATTAATGCATATTTCATAATTATAAATAGTTAATTACAAATATTTATAGTACATATAACAAATTTATATACACAGTCTCGCGTTGCTTTAAAGCCGACTCCTATACAATTAATTATACAGTAAGCACAAATTGTGCAAATTGGTACATCTGTTCTATTGGTTACAGGCAGCCCTATTTACATAGCGCGCGAAAAACGGCCCATAGACAATTTGAAATTTTCTATTTAATTTCTATTAGAAATTAACAACATCTATCCACATTTAAACCAGAAATTAATTCCGAAATGATACTTGATGAAAAATTTTGCTAGTGAACTTTTAAAAAACATTTACCACTGAAGGTGGCAAAAAATTTATTGTGCTTTTTTTTACTACATCAAATTCGTAAGCTCATGGACACAAGAGGCGCCCCAAGAAAGTACTCGACAACCAAATTGGCTATTCCAATCTGTGCGAGCATATCGATTTTCACAAACTAAAACAATTAACTTAGCTTTGTGACGTACTCGTACTTGTCCCGCAAATGGAGAAAATTTCACCGTTCCAATGTTCCAAAATATTTCTCCCCCAACACAAAATCTCACCAAATCTTTGGGTGGCCCTTATGCACTTTTGCCTTTATGCAGATAAATATAATAAATAGTTTTGCGGGGAAAACTATGACACATTTTCGGAAAATCCAAAAAAACACTCATTTACTTTATTATACAACATATACAACGGTTAAAAAGAAACAAATGTGTGATGAGTTTCATACGAACGATATGATTGTACGGGGTGTTATATACAAAGACACAAATGTAACAATCACGACTCCAACGACGGCCCCGATATTAAACGGGACGCGTGTAAACTGTGTGTAAACGAGTTAGAACACAGAGCGACCGCAACGGTTCGACCGCCTCACTTTCGGACGAAATAAACATCCAAACGCGGGTAAAGTCCTCAACGACGGTCGCGACAAAGTCCAAACACGACCGACCGCCGAATATCACAGGCCCCGCCCGTGCCGTGGGTAAATGCTAGAGAGGGCGGCCGCGCCGTCAGCGCTGGCGGTTCGCGGGTCAGCTGGGCGGGGCCAGCAGCACCTCGAGCCAGCAGGGGCACGCGGTGACGTCGCGGCGCGAGTACTTGGGCCCCCAGCCCTTGGCGAAGGAGATGCGCACGGAGCGCGGGTCGACGGGGCCCACGTGCGGGGGGCAGAGGGGCGCGGGCGGCGCGGCGGGGTCGAACACGCAGAGGCAGTGGCCGGGCGCCACGCGCCACACGAGCAGCGCGCGCGCCGCCGCCGCGTCCAGGGCCGGCGAGCTCACGAACACCGGCTCCTGGCTGCGGTTGTACAGCCACACGCCGTCCGGCTCGAGCGACAGGGTCACCCCGAGGCCGATCTTGGCCCGCGTCTTGCGCACCTGCGAAGCGAGCGCTCGGTTAGACTATCGCTCGCTTATGCCACCTAAGTCGTGAGCGGTATGGCCTGACGTCACTCCTCTGTGGGTCGCAAAAATATTTGTCACGTGCGGGAATCGGACCCGCGGCCCCCGACGCCGGAGCCAATAGCTTAGCAACCGCGCCTTCGAGTCATCCACGTTCAAGTACATTCTTTCGATGACATATAGGACGTGTAAGGTAGCGTCAGCATGGTATATGGTTATTAAGAGATATTTTTTATGTGAAAAGTTGTCAAGCGAGCGGGCGGTTCACCTGATGATAAATGATTACCGCCCCCTGTGGACATCTGCAACCTCCGAAGAGTTGTAGATGCGTTGTAAACTACTTCAACTGCAAACTAAAAAATGCACACACCAGACGAATCGCGGTAAAAGTTATAGGTACTCTCACTTCTATACGGTCTTTTCGGATGAGCCCGCCCATTGGTGCAATAGTAGTCAGCGACCGTTGCACTGCCAGCTTATTTAGATGGAACTTCTTCATTACGTTTCAACGGGGCCTTCGCGACGCGTTTCTACTGCACTGGCGCGCAAGTTTTCAAAGAGGAACTCGTCTTGGAGCTGTAGATTAATTCAAAATGGCCACCAATCGGCCGAGTACTACGGCGTCCGCTCGACTCTAAATTGATTTGTGGCTGTGCCGCGTGCGATAACCCCCGATAACCGGAGATAAATGACGTACGAGCCGATATCGAGCGCTAATTATTCATATTCACAACGAACGGCGCGAGTGCGTTGCAAAGCCTATTAAAATCCTTCACTGAGACCGGCTAGCGATAGCCCTAGCTAGTAGTTAGCTTTCACTGGAAAGTGATATGTGCCACTGCTGGGCAAAGATCTCCCCTATACACCAGGCATAGTCTCCCCACGCGACCCCACTGCGAATTGGCGGACTCATGTCTTCGAAATAATATTTGTTATTAGAAAATATGCATGTTTCCTCACGATGCACGGGATAAGTCAGCACTTAAAGTTAGTAATTTCATTTCTGCCGGCACCGGGATTTGAACTCGAGTATTTTTGATGTAAAAGCGGGCATCCAGATACTGAGCAATCACTGACTCGCACAGTAATAGTCAACTTTTGCTCAGTCTTACAATATCATAGTTTCTTCACATTCCGCCCTATCACCATATTAGAACTATTGAAGATATGAAAGCAAAAATTTATTTCTGCATATAAATTGAAAAACAATTGAATTAATTTTGAATTACTAATTTAATAATATCATATACACTGCAGCCGCCCTGTTCCGCTACAGTTTTATTATTAATCACCTCATATATTGCTCTATTTACTTAAGCCATTTTGTTAATTTAACGAAATAAATAAAGGGCCAAACTACTCTCGCGTCATATAAATGATAGAAAATACAATGTAACGTAATAGGTTATCTTGTTTAAGATGAATGCATGGACCGCGCCATTCTCGGAAGCTGAGAACTATGACAGCGTGACGCATTTCGGCTAAGTCTGTTTCCATCCTTTAAAACACATGGGAGATTATGGATGCAATGCAGTCCGGCTTAATGCGAAATAATCGGATTACAAAGAGAAAAACTGGGGTACAGTTTACCTCGTTGACAGTTCTCGAGTAATAACGCCGAAATAATTTTGCGTTTTTTACTTTATGAAAGTTCAAATCGCTGGACCATCGCGAAGACCACATATACATGACCAAGTGTCTTTCAGTGATTTGCTTTTGGCGCAAATAATATAAAAAGTAAAGTATCAGCCTACACATGTCCCACTACTGGGCAAAGGCCTCCTCTGCACAGGGTATTAGGGCAAAGTCCCCCACGTTGCCCTACTGCGGATTGGCGGACTTCAAATATTTTGGAAATATTTTATTTGTTATTATTTCGAAAATATGCAGGTTTCCTCACGATGTTTTCCTTCACCGCTGAGCACGTGATAATTCGGCACTTAAAATTAACAATTTCATTCGTGTTCAGTTCTTAAAAAAAAATATTATAAATTACTAATAAATGTTGGTCTTATAAGTAAGGCACGGTAACTTATCGGTTTAAATTTTATAACTTAGCTGCGACCCCACGAATGCCGGGGAACCTAACCTTTGAATCTTTACAATTAGTATACGATCGCAGACCATCGGCTAACAACCCACCACGGAATCGTATCTTGCGCTGGCCCTCGCTTAGGCAACCCGCTACGCGCCGCTGCGCACGTATGCCGTTGATTTTGACGCAAGCGGTGCGCGTGTCCATTCTATTTCCGTCACGTCGTACGTCAAGAGCGAGGATGATTGAATTGTCTCCGTGCGTGCTCCGCAAGCGAATATCGCCTGTAAGTACACCGAAATAGGGTCCTTCGTTCGAACAGTTACGGCGGCATAAGATTAAAGGAAATTCGTCTGTCATTATATCTAGACAGAAGAGTTCTAGAAACACGTTATGATGATGGGGTAGTGCCTGTCGCGTCTTTTAAACAGCCGGAGTGATCAGAGATAGCTATTATACTGTTCACTAGCCTAAAGACTTAAACAAATAAGAGATAATGATTTATGTTGAAATAGATAGTCAACCGTGGTACACGATTTTGTTTACAAATTCCTAGCAGTAGTTACGATCCACGTTGAAATTATCCTACCAATATTCAACATTATATGACGAAATTTCTTTACTTGTTTCCTCGTCGATTGGACCGCAATGAGCTACAGATAAGAAAGTTTTAACATATCCCTAAACCAACCAATGCAATCCTTTCCACGATTCCTTTCGGTCTATTCGTATGTTATTACCAAGCTGACGCTACCTTCTCAGTCCTTAGTCCTTCAGAACTTAAACAAGCGTGTGCGATGTGGTCAATTTGACGCTACCATTAAGTTCGTAGCAAAAAAATGCCTTACACATAAAACATAAACAGGAGTGTGCGATATGGTAGTAACTGCCATGGCGGATTTGCCCTAAGGACCAACCACAACATATACAACGAAGTTCAAACAGCTATAAAATCAGTGAATATATTTCACGGATTGTATCGCTGCGTTTAAAACGAAAAAGGGGCGTAATTCGGGCCATCCTCTTCCCAGCGACGTGGTATATCTAATAAACGGTATTTATTGCTAAACCGTTAATTTTTATGAAATAAACGGCAAATAAAAGAACTCTGTACCTAGTGCGATAGTGAAGTTCAAACAGCTATAAAATCAGTGAATATATTTCACGGATTGTATCGCTGTTTACGAAAGAATAATCAAATAAAAGAGGGGAGGAATAGGAGTCAAATAAAAGAGTCTGTAAAGGAGTTTTATTAAAATGTTGTAGTATTTGGGTAAATTTGAGAAATCAGTAATTAAACCAAGTAAAGCCTAGGGTTCATCATCAAGTTCAACGTTATTTTAACATTTTTATTCAAATGGAGTTATCACGATGCAATATGTAAATAATATATTTTCCTAAATAATGAAATTACTATTTCCATACACATTTATATACGTTAATTCAATCACAATCAATCAATGAATCTACTCCATACATTCATTTAATTAATAATCGACAGTATATACAGCATAACAAACAAATTTTAGGACCTTAGCGTTAATTAGACGTCTGTTTCATTCGGTATTAGCAAAGAACTTCAAACTTAGTTTAGAAAACGGAACTAAGTATATATTAAACTAGCGACCCGCCCCGGCTTCGCACGGGTGCAATTTATTATACATATAAACCATCCTCTTGAATCACTCTATCTAGTAAAAAAATACGGCATCACGATCCGTTGCGTAAATTTAAAGATTATACAGCGTGTCGTTACCATCGCGACAATAAATGAACACACGTCTAACGCTACTTGCCAATAATCATAAAAAAATATTAATGTTAAACAAAATCCATAATTAAAAAATATATTTTTCAAACAAACTAATTAAGTAAAAAAGAAACAAAATTTGTAACATCCTATACAACTCGCGCCACAGCGTCGCATTACAAGCCTCTCCTTCTAACAGTATGTTTTGTCTCTTTTAAATTCATTCAACCCATTCTCATATACTTTGTGACCTTTACAAATGAACTTTACGTTATACGCTTTTATAGGTAAGGGTGTTCTAAAATTCTTTGTTTTGGAAAATTTAATAACTCTGTAAATATTGATGTTTAAAGAATTTAAATGTTTGATACAACTTTAAAAAGGTATCCCCTATATGTGTGTTCATTTATTGTCGCGATGGTAACGACACGCTGTATAAGCATACATAGGGACAGACAGACAGCGGGACGACTTTGTTTTAAACTATGTAGTGACGAGTGCAACAATGGATTCTGCTCAACCCTCGTTATCAGCGGGCAATTTGAGGGAATGTAGAAAAAACACTCTCCGTTATCAACACTCGCAAACGTTCGGGCGAAATTACATCACGCCAAGCGCGGACGGAAAGACTTGACGCCCGCTGCGCGCCAACAAATTGCCCGTCGATACGGTCATTTGCAAACCAGAAACCGATCTAGATCCCCTCAAACACCCGGTCTTCGACGCTTAATGCGTCAACGGAGAATTCTTCGCGGTTCGTCATTACATGAACACCAAACTAACGAGTGTGCTCATCCGCTGAGAAAGAGTTGAAATTTATTCAGATTAAAGCTGTTCAGAAGCGGTTTTGTATTTAAAAATTTTGTACGCGCTCGCGAATTACTTTGAGTCGAGTTCGAAAGAATTACAAAATATAAACCTATAGTTTTCATTTAACAGCATATACGAAGCTCGATTTAATGAAAAAAAAAAACACAAGTTTGATTAATAATTAGAATCGATTTGCTGGAATCCAACTGCTTAAGTTGTAAGAATCAACGCGGTAACCAACAAATATATTATTAGATATAACTTTTCTTTATTTTTTATTTTTTGTCGACCCAGATGATTTTGTTAAGTTCTTTCTTTTGTGAAAAACACCAGTTTCTTATTATTACGTCGGTAAGATCGAATAATATGATGCATATTTCATTGCTCAGTAATTTGTATCTAAATGTAATTTCCAAAATACATGATTTTCCTCCAGGTACTTAGATATAACTTAAGAACGAATTCTTATCAAGAATTAAATGGGAATCTTCAATTCAGGATTCCTCCCGGAATAGTTCCTTCCGGAGACTGTTTTAAGGCACGTTTGAGTCGATTAAATTCTCTTAAACGAAATTACGACGACTTCTGCGTGCAAGTGTTGATGAATACGGAGTTAGCACGTCTCTTGTCGTCATATTTATTGTACACTATCGACGAGACACGCGTTACGGGCGTGAATCAGTCATTTCGCTAGACGCACTCTAAAATTCGCGACGATATCGAATCGCTAGTCGTCTATCGGTGTAGTAAAATATTAGATAATCCCTATCTATTGCTATTTCGAGGTAATATTTTGATTTGAAAACAACACGGTGACGGACAAAACTATTTGTCTATCAGAGTTTTCGCCTTCAAAATATTTATCAGACAGTCCAAAAAAAACACTAGTTCTTAATCATTTAGCGGTTGTATTATTAACAACGGTCGCTCGAACAAACACCAAGTATGTAGCAATAGCCTATAAATATGTATTTGTAGCCGTTCGTTCTGGGGTTTGTGTTGCATATCCGAAATACTCCAAACCGAAATTATAAATAATTTTAGTTAATTTATACTATCTTTAAAGAATTAGGGACGAAAGTCTGTGCGAAAAAGTGCCGCCCGCCGCGACCGCGCTCTGTCCCACTAAATCCCATGAAAAATGGTGGGCGGTGGTGGCGTGGTGGTGGCGGTGGCGGTGGCGCCGAGGCGGCGGCGAGCCGATCGATCGCCAAGGTTACAGACGATCAAGCTCGTGGCGACACCACTCCTTTCGCGAATTCATCGGTTGCTTACGGATTTTAGACCACCAACACAAACCCAACGGGGTCTAGGGAATGAGTATTTTCAATGTTCATATTATAAGAGATAAAATGCACCTTAGAAACCAGGTTCGAACCTGAAAATCAAGTGTATAGTTTATTGACTTGGGCAAGTTTAGACCGATCGAGTCTCACTTATTAAAGAAAGCGTGCACGACCCAAAAATACCCTTGGGAATATCGTATTAATGTAGCTTATATATACGTGCTTAATATATACGTATGAACGTATGCAGAATCAGAAGCGGTTAGACGATTTGAAATGACGTGATATGGGGCAATGGCCTACACGTAATAGACAAGCAGGCAATTAGCAAGGACGTAAATCTTGCCTATGGAGGCACCACTCGCTACTTCTGACCCCCGGGTAAGACACATCGGCACAGAACCTAAGACTTCGGCGCTTTAATGCTAATGTGTTATTACATTATTGTTTTCCACTACTTTCTTAAACAGATTTTGCTATCGCTATGCCGTCAATCAGTTGTGTGTTCCGTTGCTTTAAACGAGGTCTTTTCTATAAACCTTCCTCTTGAATCACTCTATCTAGTAAAAAAAACTCAAGATCCGTTGCGTAGTTCTAAAGATCTAAGCATACATATGGACAGATAGACAGCTGGACGACTTTGTTTTGTATTATGTAGTGATGATGATATTATTACATATGCAAAGCATGCCGTATTCACAAGTTTACGAGTATATCGTAAGTAGAGGCAAAAGATATTCCTTTTCAACTGCGCTTACTAGAGTTTTCTTCTTCGATTTGTGTGGCAATAAATAAGGCGAATTTGGTACCCAGAGCATCGGCTCGGGTTGACATTGTGAGGGCCGCGCTGCGGTCGTCAGCCTACTTATGCGTTGATAGCTTATCAGCGATAAGTGCCTCGGCGCGCATTCTTCGAATACCTCATGCGTTTGGTGCCATTAACAATTTGGATTTTGGTCTTAGCGCGATCGACTGCATAATGATGACTCTACTGTTGTCACGTTGGTAATGTCCGCTTTTAAAATGTTTATCGCATATTTGCTTATTAGACTAATTTCGATATAACATCACGTTCAAATCTTTCTTCCACTACTATTTTCCTATCGCTGTCGCGATAAGTTGTTATACTGCACGAATTTTATCGCGTATTTTTGTTTTCTTAATATCTTTCTGTAATAATTTGAGCTTACATCATACTGGATATCACGTAGATGATATTAGTAAAATCGATTCGGAACTATTCGACGCTTCAGGTACTAACTTTAAAAGGACCGATTGTACAGGATTAAATTGGATGGAATAAAATATTAAACAGTATTCCTGTTAATATAAAAATACAATCGCGAGTGCGTCTGAACTGGTTTCAAATTGATGAATGTTTAGAATCTAGTAGTAAAATATATTATAGCTTGTAGCTTTTAATGTAAGACTCGTTCCGAGCGTCCGACTCAAACAAAAACTCGACAACTCGGAAAAGTTCACACATTCTCAGTTGTTAACTCTTCGGCGTTTTTTCAAGGGCGTTTCAAATAAATCGACACTATGCATTCGATCATCCATAAATCTATCATCCGTTCCAGTATTTAATTTGATCTACATAGAAAAACTCACAAGCATAAAGCAATCTCAACTGAGGTGCAAATCATCGTCCTTGTGCCATAGTTTACCGAGGTGGTGGCGGTCTGTTTGTGATTGCGATGTAAGCAAAAAGCATTCATATATGCCACAGCCACAATTGGTGTGCCATAAGCTGGCATGTTTAATGCATTAGGCACTGGTTCAGCGGCCGTTCAGTGGCCGGGCGTGACGTTGCCGCCGACGGATCGATTTTTCAGGAAAACAAAGCGAAACGCTCGTTTCGTTCACGCGTTTAATGTGAACTGTTTTAATCTCTGGTCGCGATAAGTGCATCATCGGATCACGGAGACATCGATCGCTTCTTTGTATTAAGTCCTCACTCATTTTTCAGAGTGAGTCGTGTGTTGGCAAGTTCTAGAAAGAAAGTCTAGTTTCTAGGGTGAAACTGGTGTTTCCTTTGCTTGCGATACATTTTCTTATTCCTTAGAAAGTTTGTCATTAGTTTATGGTCGATCTCGAAGTCTAGGATGCGATTCAACTGACTAGGATCTTATCTTATCGCCAACTAAACTTCAAAATCATCGATAGTCATTGTTTTAGGAAGTGTATACGTAGATAACACTACGAAAAACGTTCCGTTATTAGAATAGAATCCACGACCACCGGTCTGCCATCCATAATCGCTTGAGAACGTAACATTGTCCTTCAACGCTTTCTGAAGGCGGCATTAGGTAATGGTGGTGTGGCGGTGGCGTGGCGCTAATTCTACGGACCGACGGGCGGCCCGGGTTCGACGACCCAATTGTGCACAATTGGCCACGTCGACAGCTAGCACAGATTAAAAATATCAGAGGGTTTTCACCAACGAGGATGTGGACACGTGTAGATAATTGAAATGTTATCTCTTATTAATCTTTACGCATCGTGAATATTAAATGAAAATAGTCTAAAAAAAAGTAAGTAAAGTAACAGCCTCTACATGTCCCACTGCTGGGCAAAGGCCTCCTCTATATAGAGGGTATCGGGGCATAGTCCACCACGCGGCCCCACTGCGGATTGGCGGACTTCACATATCTTTGAAATATTTTTTTGTTATTATTTCGAAAATATGCAGGTTTCCTCACGATGTTTTCCTTCACCGCGGAGCACGTGATAAGACAGCACTTAAAGTTAAAAACTTCATTGGTGCCGGCACCGGGGATCGAACACAGGTTGCTCGAGTATATATTGAATTAAAGGCGAGCGCCCGGACACTGAGCTATCACGGCTGAGGAAAATAGTCTACAGATTAATAATTGACGACAGCCCGGGTTAACTTTGACATAAAAACGTGTAACAACTCAGTCTGTCCCGGGACCGTGAACGCTGGAAAGGGTTCGAAACTTCTGAAATTAAAACGCGATAGAATCCGTAAACTCGTTTCATTAAATATGTACAACTAATATTCGCGTAAAATCAAGAAATGAATACACACACCATGAAATTATATTATACTATACGTAAACTCAGATAATTTCAAATTTACTTCAAAGACCCCGATAGTTCCTTAAGACGCCACACTTTCACATAACTCTTTTAATCCAAGACCCTCATGATGAGTGTCATCCACTGTCTTGAGTCTACGGTCGTGGTCTTCCGCCCCGAAGCACAATCACTCTTAAGTCTTTTGGACGTGGCGTAAAGTGATAGGCCATTTACACCTTGTTAAATTTATACTTCTCCGCACCCACAGAGCAATTAGGGGCCCTTTAGCTATCTCTTTACACCTTTAACTGCTGGTGTCCGCTACCGAGTGGTTCTCTATCGATCGCGATGTAGCCGGATTGCATGCCGACACATATACGGCCGCCGCATTTACGATTGGAATTTTAATCTTTTCCAATTGAATAAATGCATACGAAACAATCGAGCCTGACGCTCCGGAGGTTCCGTCGCGATTTATACACCGCAATTTATATATCTTTCTCCATCCCTTACCCTAGGTGGGTTCGACACGCGTGAATCATGTTGTATAGGGGCTTGGTGGTTTTTTACAACCGGCCGCCTGTCGCAAGTTGAACCTCCACGAATAAACCCCCTAGTCCCGAACAATTACCTGTGGGTCACACGAATACTTCCCGCATGGTTATCGAACCCAGGACCACCGGCGCCGAAGATAGCTTAGAAACTGCGCAAGAATCGTCGCTCGTCACACTCTTAAAACTTATAAAGCGAATGGTAATCATTGGGTAAAAGGCTACCTCACTGTATGAACGAAACGCCCGAGTGTAAATAATATCTTTTCCATATTTCATACGTATGGAAACATACAAACTTTATTGACTGTATAAATCGATTGTGGGTTCAACCTAATTATCCTATTTTACAAACGCATACCTTTCTCGGCGTAACGTGCATTTAAAGTTCAGCATTAGATATGCCTGTATGGATTGTGTAAACCGAAGGTAAGCTCCGATTGATTTACAGATTACGTGTTGTCGTTTATTGATATATCTATAGACCACCCTACATTTGTAACTTGTCTGCGTGTTAACATAACCTAATCATATAACTTATAATAACGTTTTCGTCTATGACTGATGAATAAAAACAAAAAACAAGTTTGGTTTTTGGTTACTGGAGATAGAATTTTGACATAAGTGTAATGTAGCTTATGTCAAACATCTATCGCTAGTATCCAAATCTGTCTGGGGATAGAATTTTGAAACCGGCCAGGCCATTCAGCGCCGGATTTAGGGGAAGGCAACCGGGGCCTCCAAGAACGAGGGGCCCCCACAATAGAGACTTCAGAAAAAAAATTCAAATTCAGACTATTAAACAACTCTTCCATTCATATTTTTTTTTCGCGTTTTACACAGTACTTTGTACAAACTTGATTACATTAAAAATTAATAGAAAATAATTTGGGGCCAAGGGGCCTCCACTACTTTGTTGCCCTGAGGCCTCCAGGCCTCTAAATCTGGCCCTGCGGCCATTGGTTGATTAGCTGACTAAAAGCGATAACTGTCGTCGACAATCGAAACTCACCTTCACCGTCAGTGGCGAGCGATCCCGTGGGAAGCCGCTCATGGTCAGTCCTCCTGGCGTCCTCGGTGTTCTCGCCGTGTTCTGCAAAGGTGGAGAAAAGGAATGTCATCATATATTCCCTCATTCCTCGACGTTCAAAAGGCTGTCAACGCATCTGCAACCCTCAGGTGTAGCAGATGTCCATGGGCGGCGGTATTAACTTAACATCAGGTGAACCGCCTGCTCGCTGGGCATTTTAAAAAAAAAATCTGAAGTGAAAACTTCTTAAGGCGCGCTGAGCGCTTTCTGGGTGAACAAAAATTACGGAACTCGCGCCATCGTCGCCGAACGTTTTTCACAGTGCGCGGGTCCGACTCGCACTTGGCCGGCTTTTTACTCCACTCGTACCGTTTTACAACACTGATGACTCCGAGCAGTTCCTAAGCTTCTTCGGCAACGGGGCTCGTGGACCGTGGTTTCCTTTCCCACAGCAGAATGTGTGTGACCGGTTAAATTTATTTCCACGGAGGGATAACGTCAGTAGGAAACCTACTCAATACCATTAAGAAGATACATATTCACATGCTTTACCGACCCAGCTAGGCACACCTAAACAGGGCCCTGATCCCGATAAAAGCAGCAGAAAGAAGTGCTGTTTTATAGCATTATCCTCGTCAAAAGAACAGCTGCTTACACATTTGTATTATATGTACTAATCCAGTTGTGTTTATGTCGTGAATAGAGGTTTCGTGCTGGATTAGAACCCGCAGCCCACTGTTGAGCCAGTGCGACCAATTTAACTAGAGCCTCCACTCACGCAACAGCTCTGAACGTTTCGCGGTGGTCGCCGCGAAACAAAAAAAGGAGACTGGGGAGTTGTGTCAAATTCGAACTGTATTTTTGTTCGTCCATTTGTTCCACCGTAACTGCTATAAGCGTGAACCGATATTGAATTATTCTATATTGTCGATTGATTCGTCTTTATTTCGCGATTATCACTGTGTATATAAGAAAACAAAATGAAGGACTTTTGCCGCCAAAACGTTAGTTTTCAAAAAGTATTTTTCGTACCGCAAGCGGGGTTTTTTAGTTTTTTGTAGACAATTCTACATTTTTAGTTAAAACAAGAGAGCAAGATGTCTAAGAACCTGGGTACAGAACTAAATCAAATGTAGATGTTTTCGAAACTTTAAGTTGATTTATTTCAATTTGTTTTGTTAAACACAAAATGGGAAAACTAGCCGAGAAATACGTGTTTCTCCTCATACAATATGTATTAATATTATTTCGTAAATATTATCTTATCAGATTTAAATATTAAAAATAATAACTAATCGGTTTGCAAAAACTATTTTTTATGGTCACCGCGGAAACTTGTGCCCGCGGAATACAATTTAGATTCGTTTGTAAACAGACATGGGCGGTAGAGCCGTCGCGTCGGTCGCGACCAAAAGTCGCCGCGACCAGTCCGTCAGGTTGTGACGTCACAGCTGGACACCTGCGGCCGACGCTGGACGGCCCCCCGTTAGAGAGCGGCCGAGGCTCGAGGAAATCGACTGCGCCGCGACTATATTTTCCACCGATAACGCCTCAATCATTCGACATTGTCAAATTGCATCTACTTAACAATAAAAGACATTACTGTAAACCACAAAAAGGGTCTCAAAAATACTCTTAAATGTCTTGAGAGGCTTCCTGTAAATAAAGAAAAGAAGATAAGCATAATTTTGATGGTATGATATTTAGCATCTAAAAAGCACTTGGGGATTAACACAGCAAATAATGCTAATTGGTCTTTTATTGATATCGGGCCGTACTGTGACCATATGTTATAAAACCGGCCAAGTGTGAGTCGGACTCACGCAGGGTTCCGTACCATTATCTATAAAAACGGACGAAGACTTAAAAAGGAATCCCAAAGCTCTTGCTAATACCACGACACTTTTGCATTATTGAATTTATTTAAAGTTCTTAGTACCATTGTAATGTTAACCGAAAACGCGGTATGATATTTTTCTAAAATTTGTTCACAATATCATAGTAGCTCAAAACATAAACTGGACTGAAATTGTGTTCAAGTTAATATGTAAAAGGTAGTAATGGAGCACATGGTTAACCTGATATTAAGTGCTTACTGCTACGAAATGTAAAGTTATAAAAACTTCTACTTCAGACCGAAATAAAATGGCGTACCAAAGCAACAGAAGATGAGGCAACATGCGAGGAACTAAACCGAAGCCTTGCGGCAGCCTCTGCATTCTAGTGCCATATACTTGTACCATCTATGGAAATAAGCCAGGCCAAGTCCACGGTGTTGCAGAATCGTTTACCGGCGCGGAAATGCTTGCCCCGTGCATAGATATGTGATGTAGGTGTGTCCGTCGGTACGCATTCAAATAGTTGGACGTAGTCCGCGTGTACAGATCCATTAGCATACTGGAGATCACATCAAGGTTACCCGCTGTCTATACATAACGAACCAGCCGGCAGCGCCGTGGCGAGAATGTAATAAACCTATTAGACGAAATCGTTTGAGGTAGCTTCATTATCTGGGGAACGCATTCGATGAGGTACGATATTTTCGCACTAGTTTCAATTTGGTAGCTACTCCTCTACAAAGAAAATTTCCATCTATAGATTTAATATACCAAGCCACCCCACTTGTACCCAAATACGATAGAATAAATTAGGTAATGCTTGAAGTCGGTAACATAAGTAATTAGAATTTAAGTATGGGTAAAATTGTTTTTTAAAAAAACACTTTCTGTAATTGCAACCCCCAACGCGTGTAAGACTCTCGCTAACCAAACAAAAGACCAATAAACTAAATCGGACAAAGCGAAATAATTCAATAAACATAACAGATTATAAATTACGGTGTTGGCGCCAACAATCAGAACGTCTTAATTAAAATTCTGACATCCAATATGGCGCCCGCGACAGCTACGGATAGGAATTCTCTGCCAACAGCCGTTGTCCATGGATAATTTTGTACTTTCAAGGTAACGGGCGGGCGTTGGTATGATTATTAAGCAACGGGAAAATATTTTTGAAAGGAAATAAAAAAACATACAAAGAGAAACTGCGGAGATTTAATATTGTATTATCATGTTTGACTTCTGACAGATTAAGATAGAGCAGTTGACAGTTGTCTATCAGTCTAGACACAGCATGGCGAAATAGTATTTAGGCTTTATTTATATATCTTAACGACTTCAATGTGTGGAGTTAAAATATTATTTATACTCACGTAGGCTAAAATAAGAATATTATACCTATGTTATATCGTAATCTCCTCTTTTTAAAAAAAAAAGAGCAACTGTTGAGTTTTTTCCGGCCTCCTCTCAACAAAAACTGCCTTCTGAACCGCTGCAATTTACTTACGAACTTATGTATCAACTAGTATGTAAAATACTTCGTTTCATAAGAATGCGCAAGCGTCTATTTGAATAAAGATATTTTGAATTTTATTAAAAAATACACAATATTGATCAAAACTCAACGACACAGGATCGAGTGAGCCAAAAAGTGGACAAGCCGCAAGATTGGCATTTTAGTTGCATTGTAGTTTTTGTTTACAATAACCCACTTTGCGTTATTAACAAACAGTGCGCGCTTGAAATCCCCATGTTATGGAAACACCGGTTACACGTGTATGGAAGTTTACGCTTCCAGCGCTGTTTCTATAACAGCCCGAGTCCGGCTTGTGTTGCCAGCCTTTTTCCGAGGAGACCGCAACCGTCGACAGAAATAACACAAGAACGCTACCGGTACCAGTTGCATAGAAAGAAAAAAAGGTGGATCTCATCAGGGATTGTTTGAGCACCAGTAAAAGGTTCTCACTGTTTTAATAATTTTTAAAAATATATTTGACCACTAATGAAATTTAAATTAGTTTTTTGCCTATGGGATGAACTAAACTCAAGATTTCCGTATACATACGATTATTGGAATAGCTTACTAGAATATTGCTTAGTTTCTATAATACGGTGGTAGGGCCACGCAGCAGCCTCGGTTGTTGCACGAATGGGCAGGCCCGTCCGGGTAAGTACCACGACCTCACAGAAGACCGGCGTAAAGTGGAAGTATGACAAATACTTTCGCGTTTCGTCTGGTGAGTGAGGTAGCCGGAGCCCAATTTTCAAAAGGTTGTCAACGCATCTGTGACCCTCGGGTGTAGCAGATGTCTATAGGCGACGGTATCCACTTAACATCAGGTGAACCGTCCGCTCGTTTGGCAACTTTTCACATAAAAAAAACGATTCTTATTAAACATAAGCTTTCTTCTAGAAGTCCGTCCCAGACCATAAACGGAACATGAAACAAGCGAAGTATATCGAAAACCATTTGATGCAATTAAACTGTCCGCAACAGCCTCGCTGGCGGCGACTGAAACCGGAAGTGCTTTACGCACGCCAGTTGAAAACTGCGTGACGCCCTTCCGGTTTCAGCCGCGGAGGTGGAAGGGAGAAGGAAAAGGGAGGTGCGCGTTCTCACAGCGGCCGACCGAATAGTTGGAAGCTCAATGACACCGATACGAGACCGCTTACAGCCGACGTGACGGGCACGATACGATTGTTTGTTGTGATTACACAGATACTGGAAATTGCTTAATGAATCTGTCATTCCCATTTCATGACACGTTTAACCCGGTCTACTGTTAGCCTTAACTTAATCCTATCCACGCTAAAAAGCAAATCGTATCCTGAAGTCTGATCTTGACTTGGTACAAACAACCCTAATGGCAATTATAATGTCGAAGAATAAATTGACGACAAGGATGTGGGGAAATGACTCTTGCTCTGCACTGGTTAGGGGAGGGTGTTATTAATTTTATACTTAAATAACTTTGTATACTTTTAAATACCAGAAGATATCAAGGCTGTAATGTCTGTGATAGAAAATAACATATCTCGGCGGCGTGTAAAAGCCCTCGCGCATAGCTGACCCACTAACATCGACACCGCGCACTAACCCCACAAAGTTGCATACACGCTTCACAAACTATGGAAAGTCTATTACCAGGACCCAAAATAGTGCCATAGTACTTTTGCAAACACCCGTAACTCAATCAAGAACTATTGATCAGACTGTGGATGCAG